CCCCCCCCGGATCCCTGCTAAAGCACATCGATGCGTGGCCTGGCTAATTTTTTTAACTTAGCTTTTTTGCTTTTAACTTCTCATGTTTTGACTCAGTCACTTGACTGGGAGGCTGCTGTGTGAAGGTGCACGAGGGTGGACTGGAGCACCTAAATGGAGGCCCCCAAACATGAGCATTTTCCCCTTAACCTTCCAGCACCATTGGGAATAATAATTCCTCGCAGGGCTGTTGCACAGCTTGATTCATTAAGGCTTATGAAGTGCTTTTAGCTCCGGCACTGGAAGGCTCTGTGCAAGTTATTTTGGACTGCTCAGGTGTTAGGAGAAGAGGCACTGCAGAAAGAATACAAATAAATCAAGAGAAACTGCCCCTTCCCTCCATCCAGCCCCTGCCCCCCACTGTTCTCCATCACTGTTGGTGTCAAACAGTTAATTTACAAGCCCAGCACTTTACAAAGCCCCTGGAGCACCAATTGTCCCTTTCTCATGCAACATCAGCTCCTCCAAACAGCCAGCTGAGTCTCCGGGGGTCAGCCTGCTCCTGCCCCTCCCAAGGCAACTTCAGCCCCTGTCCAAAACCGCCTGGGTACTTATTTCGGAACAAGTCAGATGCAGCATCACCCCCTTGCAGCAGGATGCGCTGGAACAAGCCCGGGGTTCTGAAATGTGCCATGTGCCTGGCCTGGGAGGCAATATTCAATTTGGGAAGGTGACCCAGATATCCCACCCAACCCACCACCCATCAGGGCAGCATTCCCACAGGCAGGAGCAGGGAACGCTCAGCCTGGCAGGACAAACCAGGAGAGCGATAGGTAAGGGAACAGGCTCGCGCCTGGGGAGGGTAAAAGGCAGTGGATCTTTCACACGGCTTTTTTTTTTTCCCTCCCTCGCTCCATCTCCCTCCCCTCCTGCAGTCTGTTGCACGGGAGCTGTCGGCCATGCTGTTCCAGTTCAGGGGCTCCTGCAACAGAAAAGATCAGCTGTTGGAGAACCCATGGAAAGCCCTGGGGGAGAGCCATGGCCGCAAGGTAATCAGCAGGCAAAGTTATTACCATTATGCTGCTAATTAATTCCCAGCTCATTACGTTTCCTGTGGCTAATTTGTACTCGCCGCTGATTTGATTAAACTCATCTCTATGCTAATAAATGTGTTTTCCATTTGTTTTAGCGACTGTAGGAAGAGAGCCCGGTATTTACATATTTTGACGTTTATCAAATAAAACGCGGCGCCTGAATTAATTCTGCTCTGATTTATAAGTGGAGGGGGGGAGGAAGGGGAGAAAGGGGATGCTGAGGGTCAGGAGTACATCGCGTGTGCTTGGCGGTGTTTGGTGGTGGGGGCTGCGCCGACGGGAGATGCTCCCGGGCATTCCATCCTCACCTGCCCCATCCTGCCCAGGGATGGCTCCTGCAACGCGGCTGCCACCTCCTTGGCTGCTCCCCTTCCATTTATTTCCCCTTCCCAACTAAGTTTTGAGACGTGGGGCTTTGATTTGTAGGTACATCGCACGGTTCACCGACACCTCGTCAGGTGGATTTTTCTTTGTCTCTCAGAAATTGCTCTAAATGAAGATTAGATTTACACTGCAGCACCTCATTATAAGCAGTGACTGTGTTTCCCAGTTCCGTTTGTCAGGATTCGCTACAGTGATATCAGAGGGCTTGAATTTCTAATGAGACAGGGAGGAACAGACACCTT